TTTATGTCACATCTATAGATATTGTCAGTTTTCATGCAATACATACACTAAAATTAGAGAATATTGTTTCGTTCTTTGCAGGGAACGTGAATATTGTGGTTGGAAGCTGTAAGAAAGAGAATGGTCAGGGAGAATGAACAGTATGATATTTAATTTTGATGGATTGCGTCATCTATGATTATTATGGTGGAAAAGCTAATATTCGTGATTGGTTCATGGGTCGGGATTATATGTTTTCCCCATTTCTCGAAGAATAGCACTTGTGCTTCGCTGTCTATTATATTAATGTTAGCCGAGTACAATGCTGCCTAATGTTAAACTTTATTGTTGTATGATATTGTTCGACATTTTAGATAAATTTGTTTTTTTGTCAAGAATAGTATGAAGAATCAAAATATTCGTTGCGATAAATCAAAATCAAATCGTGTTGAAAATGGCAGAACGTATTTTTTTCGTGCACGTGTTAATGATGAACAAGAAACTAATGATGTTAATGATGAACAAGAAACTAATGATGTTAATGATGAACAAGAAACTAATGATGTTAATGATGAACAAGAAACTAATGATGTTAATGATGATGAATGTTCTTCTTCTACGTCTTCGATAACTGGAAAACTTGTGATAGATGAGTCATATCAAGATGAACATGAAGCACAAATTGAAAAAACTTTTCAAGTAACCTGCCATCGATTGAACGAAAATAATGATTACGAACAGTCGTCACCATCATCAAGTGCTATATGTGTGACAAAATCAAAATCATCATCACGTCGACAAACAAAATCTTATAATATGTCTATATACATAAAAATTCAACATATTTTACGTCGAAACAAACAATTAAAAAAGAAAATAAAATATTACAAAAAACATTGGATACGAAAGTAAGATTTTTATTTCTACATTACATTGATGCAAAATTTTTTCAATAGATCAACTGGAGATATTGCAGCTTATTTACTTGAACTAGGCACGACATTATCGAACGATTTGCATTCAAAACAACAACAAAAAAATAAAAAAATGAAAAAAAAAAAATAAAAAAGATAAAATAGAATATATAGCACGTGTATTAAATGTGAATCCAGATGAATTATATTTTTCAAAACATAAAACAGACATCACGAAAACATGTCGTGCTGTGACGAAACTTATTTATCCGGATCGATCTCAACGTGCTACAACACAAATTACAGACTTACCAATTCACAAACGTCGAGCTATACACGGTAAAAAACAACATCACAATAATATTATACTATTCTTTCTTATCATTCTAGAATATTGTAGATTTGTGCATCGACAACCCGATGCACCAACACGTTCATTAGACAACACGATTAGTAACGTGTTTTCGGCAGCTAAATATCAACAAAAACACTTACATTAGCACCATCATAATTATACATGAACCATATTAAAATTTTTTATTATCATACACATGTTGACATGTAGATATATACAAATGTCTATATAATATAGACATCACCATTGTTTTTTTTTCACCAAATCTCATATAAACAAAAATTCATTTATTTTTGTACTTTTCCACATATGTTTCTACATAAACGTGTATTTACTATTATAATTTATGAACATATATTGTTTTTTATAAATGTATACATATACATATTCATGTTTTTTTTCTTTTCCTTCTAACATGTATATACACACACATCTTTTGTTACATGTACTATTGATACAGCCATATGAAATAAAATCGAAATGCTATAACAACGAACAATTCCAATGTAACAAATATTTCCAACATATAATAATATCAAATATCAGATTTAGAAGAAACAATAGAAACAGGGTTGTCAGATCAAAATCTTACAAATCGGAATTCATTTGCCTGAATTCGAAAAATTTCAGGAAAAATATCTGTATACTCAAGTTCCATTGTATATTGTATTAGGTAATCGGAGTCCAACGGGATCATCAACACCGGTTAATTGTCTAAGTGGTTCTATATCTATTTCATCAGGATCTTTTTTAGGTTCTATTGATGAATTTCGAATTTACAATCGACAATTAAGTAATCATGAAATTTGTGTACTTGCTAATATGTAAATTTGAAATGAGAAATTTTACAGATTGTTTGCCTAATAATGTAATTTTTTATCTTTAATTTTAATTTTAGTTTGAAATATAATAAAGAAAATTGACTTTTAAGAATTCTTCTGTATTTGAATAAAAAAAATCTTTATATAAAAAGAGATCGCTTTACTGCACTATTGCCTTTCAATAGATTGCTCGCAATGGACTGATTTCTCCATTGTCTGACGAAGAAAGTCCTCTAACTGATAAATTGCTTGTCTATGG